TGGATAGCCTCTGACATTTTGAGTGACTCCTATTGCCATTTCTGCTGCTGTGGTTTGCCTTCATAGTTATAATAGAAGCTGCTTGGAAGAGCCTCAAAGGTACTAACCTCAGGTGTCCACAGACTTGAGAGAAATAAACAGAGAAACCCTATATCACCCTGCAACTCACAACTTGCAACCCACTAAGCAGGTGTGAGCCTGGTCAGTACCTGTGTTGGAGACCTACTGGGAAAGCTAAGGTTGCTGCTGGAAGAGGTGTTGGTGGGGCCAGCAGGGGGCGCTCACCCTGCAGTCTGTGTGGGTCCTAATGCCACAGTACAGTATATTGATGGGGATGCTATACTGTAAAAAAGGCGCCGTCCTTTGGATGAAACGTAAAACGAAGTTCCTGACTCTCTGAGGTCATTAAAAATTCCAGGATGTTTTTCAAAAAGAGTAGGGGTGTCCTGTCCAAATTTCCCCCTGGCCTTTACCAATCATGGCCTCCTAATGATCCCCATCTCTTTGAACTGGCTTCATCACTCTGTTCTCCTCTTCACTAATAGCAGGTGTGTGTTGTGCGTTCTGGTGCACTAAGGATGCTGTCAGATCATCCAGGTGAGTGATCCAGTCAAGATCTGTTACACCGTTGAACCCTTGAGTGGGATTAATGTAAAACTTTTGACTGTTCTTAAACATTGGAGGTTACCTTTTAACTATTACTTGAGTAACATAAAATACCTTCAGTTAGGTTATTAACCTCAGCTGGAAATAAAGCCTGCAGGTGTTTGCCCTCCAGGACCAGTATTTGGAACACCTGCTGTCAAGGTCTCCATCAAAAATAATGCTACAATATTTTCCTCATTACTTTTTTTACAAATCTCATCTTTGTAAAAGAACTCAGTCTGAAATCATATCTTTTCTAAAGTATGTGCAACAGCTCACTCTTTCTGATGATACCACACTGGAAATTAGGCTTTGTTTAAAAATAATTAAAGCTGCTGTTTTTATATTGTAATATTTTCGGGTTCGGCGGTACTGACACAGTGATTCAGACTCTCATTTGAATGAGAAACGGCGCTTTAATTTTTCGGATGAGAGTCCGGCACAGTAAGCACAACCACCACTCCCGCCCACACACAGAGGAGCCAGAGAGAGAGAGCACAACACACTGGGGTCTATTCGGGTACAGTTACACAGGGATAGGGTGGCTATTGGGTACAAGTATCAAAAAAGGGGTGCGAAACCAGGGAACTATTTACATGAATCCAGGTGATCTCACCACTCTGTACACCCGTTTTGCAATGGGTCAGCTCCACTGGTCAACGGCCTTCCTAGTCCCCATCCTGGCCTCTACTACTCCCACCCTGCCCCTCGCCGCGTACCCCAGCCGGGCGCACTTCGGCCCAACGCCAGTTGAAGGCGCTACACTATTTATATTTTATATTTATTGCCAAGTATTTTGTTTGTAGATCAGGACAGAATCATTACTTAAATGACACTCAACCTAGCCATTTACCAGCTTTTAATGCTTTAAGATAGTAAATATTCCTGCTTTTAAATATTCACATTTTAGCTGATACAGTACTGTCTCCCATGAAGACTAACAAAATATTTTGCCTTATTTGTTCTAACTTGTATAAATAGGGATCGTTTTTCCAGTATTCTCATTTATCTAGTCTTTCTTCTACAGAGGCAGCTGCACGTGAGGCATCTTTATCCCGTCTGAGCAAAAAGAGACAATTCAGAACAGGACAACCTAAATATCCTGGCATTGATGTCATCCTCCATGAAATTGTTCTTATTTTCTTTGACCCTTGTTATGCCCCTTTCTGATTGAAGATATAGATACTGTCATTTAAAAGGATTAGTAGGAGTGTTTTGTTTTTTGTTTTTCATTTAACTGCTGTTATACCTTCTGTGTGAGCCCCCGCCTCGCTCTGCTGGTAGAGCATGAGACTCATAATCTCAGAGCAGTGGGTTTGTGTCCCACGTCGTGCACCAGGTCCTCCATATTGGAGGTTGGGCACAAGGCTAACAACCCTGTCCCATAAAAAAACGAATGTTACAGAAACAGCAACAGCATGTTGCTGCCCCTAAGTGCCGGAAGTCATAACGGGCAAACATCCATCCATACCTTCTGTATATGACTGAAAAAACAAAGTGGTACTATCCTGGATGTTGTTGCACTATCTCTCTGACGAATGTTGTAGTTTTTGACAGTTCAAATTTATTGTGGGAAATGAGTTGCTGTACTCAGTCACCTGACCAGTTACTGTAAGATGTAATATATGCAGTTTGCACTAGAGGGTAGCCCTTAATGCACATCCTACTGTATGTAGTGTATGGCCACAATGTAAAACATTTATGAAGAAGAGCAAAGGGCAAAGAGGAGATGCATTTGGGAACAGGAGAGCTTCACTTTGTGAATGAGGTTCTGATGAAGGTAATGCCTGAGTTCCAGGAAGTTGCTGAAAAAGGTAAGAAACACAAGAAAAAGCAAAAGTAAACATAATCTGTGCTTAACGAAGAGAAGAATTTGGGTTCCAGTTTAGAGAATAAGAACAAGGAGGACAAGAAGTCCTTTCCTCAAAGAAGAGAATGGGGGAAGGAGCCATTTTTGTGAGAGCTACAGGAGGGAAAGACAATTGGAATTGAGCTGCTGTGTTCACGAGTACTGAGAGGAGAAGGAAACAGCGTGATTCCCACACTGTTGATTGGGCCATCAGCCAGTCTGAGAGCAAGCAGAAGGCTAATTTGAAGAAACTGCTCTGGGAGTACAGTACATGAAGTAATGAATTGAAGGAGAAGAGGGAGGCCCTGCAGTCAGAACTGCAGCAGATGGAAAGCCGGTAAGGCATAGCAGTATGAGGATGAAGGCACGCTAAAAGGGCATCTGAACAAAGGGAGTGAAGAGCTGAGGAAACCCAAGAGCAACACCAGCAACCTCCAGGTGGATCAGGAGAAGGCCAGGCAGGAGATGAGACTGCCCCCACTGTATAGAATGTTAACGAGCAGCCGCTGAAATGGTGGAAGATGGAAATGATGGAGGCATCTCAGATATGTATATGATATAAACTCATAGATATGTTATTATTGTATAATATATTAGTAAGACCTCATTTTGAATGTTTTGTACAGTTTTACTCAACATGTTACAAAAAAGATATTGCTGCTCTGGAATCTAGAGAAGCCTACGAAAGGGATGTCCTACATTGACCTGATGAGGAACTGAACCTTTTTAATTTTGAAAAGAGGAGACTATGAGGCGACCTGTTAGACGTGTGCAAAATCTGAGCCATTAACAAGGTCAGCCCAGTGGATGTCTTCTGAATGAACACAGTGAAAACACAAACCAGAAAACACAAGATGAAACTATGTGGAAGTACATTTAGAACTGAGAACAGAAGTTTAACTTGGCAAACGTTTGTGTAAATATGGAACACACTGCCTAGCCATGTTATACGCTGGCTTCTCTCAGGATACAGCTAGAAGTATCAATTCACTGCTGAAATGAGCTAAATGGTCTAATTGGTCTTTTCTCATTTTAAACTTTCTTATGTTTGCATGCTTCAATCAGTGGCTCCAGTAAGTTTTGATGTATATTTTCCAATATACAGAAACCAGAATTAATTATATTAATGCTTATGGCTGAAAGCTAGGTTATCTAAAACCAGAAGTAAGGTATATGGCGAGACACTTGCAGAGAGTATTGAAATTGTGTGAAGGCATTTGGTTTCATTATGTCATTATGTTCATTGAGATGGGAGTTATTGATCTCTACAATACTTTGTGAGGCTACTATGCTCTGCACTGTGTGAGAGGGTCTCCTCTCACCTGTTTCCAAAACTCAAATAATAATAATCTCTTTATATGGGCCTGGATTCTGCATATTTTTAAATGTTAAGTATGTAATTAGCAGTTTCCCTGACTGTCGGGGCACATTTTGATACAACTGAGGGAAGGAACTGAATTAGTGTACATTAAATGTTTTGCATTATTAGTCTTTTTATAATATGAGGAACAAACTAATGGGAAACCTGATGAGAAACTGGAAATAGAATAGTAAATAAAAAATAGAAGTGTACATTGCCCTCCAGATGTGTTAATACCCCCAATTCACTAAGAATAAAAAACACTTTAGAATAATGAGTAACAGTATGATTAAGTAATGTTTCTTGATTAAAACATTTCTATAAATGTTATACTTTAATCGCTTTATGTTGCACAAAGTCAAATCTGCCAAAATTAAAGAAAAATAATAAGAATTAAGAATTAAGAATCCCTTGTAAGCCATCTCGTTTGCTGCTTAAACTTTTTCTTTTCTCAATGTGGTTTTACCTTGAAGCTGCAAGAATGGCTTTCAGGAGAAACACACTTGAAGTGTCTGGAATGCTTCATTACACAGTCTCAGCATCATTAATCAGGCTGGTAGATGGTTTCACTTGGCTGAGCTCTGATCCCACAAGAACACCAGCAGCAATCAGCTTCCTCAGTTCCTGCCAGTCTACACAGAAATTGTACTCTCTTGAAGGATCAGATGTGAACTAAAGGTTACAGTCCAGTTATTGAGATGCTTTTCCAAAGTTTTGTGTCAGGGCAGATGGATATTTTGGAGCAACAAAGGCTCAGTCGGACTCACGTTTTCTTGTACAAGAGCACTTGGCTCTTCTTCTTGAAGATCAAACAGGTTAAAAAAATGTGACCACAATTTGTAACAAAAACAGCAAAACTGCTTTTTCTTCCACATCTTCCAACGTGTGCTATTTTATTATAGTGTAATTACAACTTGTGATGTAAAGTTCCTGTTTTCACATTAATATTCGTCCACCTGATCCTGGTCCCCTGACACGTCTTCTAACTTAAGGCTACTGTACCCTTGATTGGATTTCTGAGAAAAAACTTACTTCAGAAAGCAACTTTGAGACAGTTGCCTACCTCAGCTTTTGCACTGGTTGACTCTACCCTGGTTGTTTGTTTACTAAATCCCTCTTCATTTTTGTGCTTGATTTTCTAAACAGGTGTCCAGTGTCGCCACAGGAGACAGCCCCATCGAGTACAGCAACGGAGAAGCAGAGCGTTCGTCCAGCTCGCACAAAGAAACTGATAAGGCAGTACAGCTTGTGAGTGATTCTGTTCAACCAGGACTTCACTCACTGCTCACAATAATAATAATAATAATAATAATAATAATAAACTTAATTTTATATAGCGCCTTTAAAGGTGGCTTCTCAAAGCGCTTTACAAAATGAAGACAACAATAAATAAAAAGAATGCACAAGACAAAACACAATTACAATACACAGAGGAGACCGTGGATGGTGGTACTACAGTAAGTATAGTAGGACTAGAGGGATAAAGAATCAAGTTCAAGTTCAAGTTTATTGTCAGTATACTCATAAACATGGTATATGGTATAACAAAATGCTATTTAGCTAGCTCTCGGACATAAGTAGTGAAAAGAAAACAACAACAACAATACAATTGTGTAACAAAAGAAAGAGACAACAGGCAGTGTGCAAAACAACCAAAAGTTAACAGGTTATGTTCAAAAATATGCATCAACAGAATGAAATAAAGGGATAGAAATTATGGGGAGTGAGCTTTTGACATGTATGGTAGAGGTAGATTTCAATGTGTGTTTGGGTTCTTGGTAAGAAAGAAAGAAGGCACTGTGAGGTTCAGATCATAGGTGAGAGCTGAGGTGAGAGTGAGAGAGCCTGGGAGTTTAATAGTTTGATAGTGGGGGGGTAAAAACTGTCTCTGAGTCTGGTAGTCCGGGCCCGAATGCTCCGGTACCGTTTTCCAGATGGCAGCAGATCATAAAGTCTGTAGCTGGGGTGTGTGGGGTCTTTGATGATGCTTAGAACTTTCCTCAAGCACCGTCTGTCATAAATGTCCTGGATAGATGGGAGGGTAACCCGCTGTAGGGCTTTGCGGTCAGCAGCACTGCAGTTGCCATACCACACTGTGATCCAGCCTGTCAGTGTGCTTTCTGTAGTGCATCTGTAAAAGTTAGTTAGGATCTGGGGACATATCTTAGCCTTCTTCAACCGTCTTAGGAAGTACAGGCACTGTTGCGCTTTCTTAATCAGAAAGGTGGTATTGAGAGACCATGTGAGGTCCTCAGTGATATGGACGCCAAGGAATTTAAAGTTACTGACCCTTTCCACTTCAGTCCCGTTGATGTGGATAGGGGCATGTCCGGTTTGCAGTTTCCTGAAATCAACGATCAGCTCCTTGGTTTTGCTGACATTGAGGGTGAGGTTGTTGTCATCAACGATCAGCTCCTTGGGTACCAAGGATACCAGAGAGTCACCTTCTCTAAACTCCTTCAAATCCAGACTCAAAAGCTTCTTCTTAAGAAGAGCCTTTACTCAATGGAACCAGTTAAGTAAAGGCTTAAGTAAAGAAGAAGCTTTTGAGTCTGGATTTGAAGGAGTTTAGAGAAGGTGACTCTCTGGTATCCTTGGGCAGAGTTCCAGAGCTTGGGGGCATAACAGGAGAAGGCCTCGTCACCCATAGAATGAAGATGGGCTTTTGGGGACAGATAGGAGACCAGAATTAGAAGAGCGAAGGAAGTGGACCTTACAGTAGAAACACACAGGGGGGCTAGAGAACCACATTCATTTTCCCACCTTCACTGAGCTCGGTGAAATTGGTACAGTGCTAGCCAGTTACCTTATAAGCCATCTGACACTTGCAAAAGTCAGCATATAAAGAGGTCATTAATAAATGAGGAGAAAACTGAAGAGAAAGGTGAAAAGTAATATGTTGAGGAATTTGCCTGGAAGTAATCACTTTTAATGCGGCTTAATTATTTGTGCTTCTGCAGACTTGTGGCATGCCTGTTCCTGGAAGCTATGCCACTCACAATAAGAAAAGACCACAGTGCCCCCTAGTGTGTGGTGATGGAAATGACACCCAAGTTTGTACCATTTTGAAGGATTGGAAATGGTTTAGAAATCATAGCTGTTTATCAGTATAAAGTCTGACTCCTTGCTATTTTTTTTACTTTTTTCACATTTCAATATTTTCTACTTACTGAATATGCAGATCTGTCTCCAGAAGCACGTTTGTGACTTTTTGGTCAAGTATGGATAGTCATTGTTGTCATGTTTAGTCACTTCCATAACACACACTTCAGAAAATTACAGGGGAAAAACTCTTTGACAGTTAATGTTGGAAAGCGTTATGTGAGCCATGCACTTACCATACATATTTAGCTATGTCCATCTTTTTGCAACTTAATGGATTTCCCTTTGTGAACATTTTTTCAGTGTCTTAATTTTACTAAAATAAGTGTTGGGATGAAAGTCGCAAATGTTTTTTCACAGAAATCTATAGAAAACTAAAACATTAGAGTCTCAAACACATTTCAGATCCTCATAAGATTGGACAACATCATAACGTCTTCACAAATCTGGGAACCCTGTTTGATGCTTTCCGTTTTATGACCTGTACAGTAGATTTTGCGGCTCCAATGATAGCACCATATTTTCTGTCCCCTAGCAACCACGAGGACGAGGATGACCTACCGGCTGCCCTAGCAGCGATTTCCTCCCAGAGCAGCACAGGCAAAACAGCCTCTGAGAGCTCCTTCGAGGTGCAGGTCCAGCCACCCATCTGTGTCAAGGTATCCATTTCCTCCCCAGTGTTGGCTCCACTATTGTCTTACCTACCAGGGTTTGCTGTGAAGACTTTCAGAGTTGTTTCCAAGAACAAAAGAAGTTTGTAAAGTAGCTGTCACAGAAGACAGTGAGCACCAAACGCACTGCTTCTTGTGTTCACACTGCTGCTTACCCATATCCTACTCTCGGCTCTCGGGTCCAGTGTCATGGAGTCTGCCGTTTGGCTCAGATGAGTCCATATGGTGTCCTCCTGGGGAAGCCTGCCAGGGTCAATCAGAATGAGCTTTGTATTTAGGGAACGTAGAGTCCATCACATCCTGTATTGGAAAGCTGATGAATTGACAGGTTTTTAATTATTGTTGCGTTGCCCTGCTCTATCAGACAAAAATAAGTCTATAAAATGCAGGTACATAAAATGAGTCCATGAATAAAAAAAAAACTATTTTTAATACGCTTTATCAAGATAATAAAATGTTGACCTTATATTGTTGCCATTTACAAGTGTATGACAAACATTAACTTGCAACAGGTGAGGTATTGTTTTATTTAATATGGGACAGTGCGGTGGCTCTGTGGCTAAGGATCTGCGCCTGTGGCTGGAAGGTTGCCGGTTCGTATCCCATGGCCCGCAGAGGAATCCTACTCTGTTGGGCCCCTGATCAAAGCCCTTAACCCCAATTGCTCCAGGGGTGCTGTATAAATGGCTGACCCTGCGCTCTGACCCAAAGCTTCTCTCCCTGTCTGTGTGTCTCTTGAAGAGCAAGTTGGGGTATGCAAAAAGACAAATCCCTAATACAAGAAATTGTGTATGGCCAATAAAGTGATCTTATCTTATCTTCAATGCCCAAGCCCTCTGTTCCAGCTATTCAATCCTTTAGCAATCCATAATAATTTCAATCACTCAGAAGTATGTGACCACATTTTATTTCCTATGAAATGGTCTCATCTTGGGTGGCACAGTGATGCAGTAGTTAGTATTGCTGCCGCACAAGGCTGGGGCTTAGAGTTCAGTCCTGGACCTGAGGTGCTGTCTGTATGAAGCTTGTATACGTTCTCCTCATATTTGTATGGGTTTCCTCCCATAGTCCAAAGACAATGGGTTGTCATTGCCTTCTGGGATAGCTGGTCCAGTATTTAAATCTGTGTGTGCCCTGCAATGCAATGGACTGGCTTCCCATCCAGGGTGTATACTGCCTTGTGCCCATTGCTTGCTGGGATAAGGGCTCTGGCTCCCTCACAACCCTACATTGGAGGATGGTTAGAAAATGGGTGGATGGGTTCACATCTCTCCTTTTTTTAAATTTGGGCCTGCATATTGTGAAACAACAGATTCTAGAGAAAAAAACTAGTGGAAGGGCAAACTGAAGAGGTTAATTAGCTGTAGATTATACATGAAAGATTAAATAATACATACAGTATATTTTGCTGGCAAGATTTTACACGACTAACAGCTGAACAAGTTATAGACCTGACTGTGCTCTCTGAAAAGTGTATGAAAATGCATTCTTGTAGTAAAAAGGTGCAAGAAAATCCTAAACAAGTTAAAAACCATAATCTTGATTAAAGTGCTATCTGGAGACTATTTTCTAATTTTATCTTCATCTAATTCCATATGAATCATTTGGAAATTAAAAATAATTTTTAGATGCTCTTAAACATTATAAGTCTAGGGAGTAACATTCCTAAGAAGAGTTGCATTAACGAATACTTAATTTGTTCAGTAAATAAGAATTTTAATCAACCTAGCAGACATCAAACTAATTTTTTTGTTCTTAATGCAAATCGTGGATGCAAGCGCTTATGGTCTAAGAAAAACTTGACTTAAAAGTCATTCATAAGTCAATCTTATTTAATCATTTTACATCACCAAAACCACAAAACCTTTATAGAAAGCTTTTATCAATCAAAAAAGGTTCAACTAGAGCTTCACAAAACCATTTTCAGAAAAAACGTTTATTTAATCAAACCAAGCCCGTGTGTGGCGTAGTTGCAAGCGACCGTGGTGTAAATCAATATTTACTTTTGATTCCTGTGTCATATTTAATCGTTTTTTACCAACAAAACCACAAAACCTTTACAAAACCTGTTATGAAAAAGGACAACAGGAGCTTTAAAAAAACCTTTGTTTGTTTGTTTGTTTTTAAAAACCAAGACAATCAATCACAAAGACAATTTTTATCTGATGATGCACTTCCAAACTCCCAAAGTGCATTGATAAGGTAATCAATAAGCCAGCAAAACAAGACCGAAAAAGCAAAACCCAGCAAAATATATATATCCCATGTTTTTACCTTATTCTGAAGCATGATATATATCCACAAAAGGCTGGACTAACCCACCTCCAGACCTGGAGGAAACTAAACGTTATTGTCTTTGGAATAGATACTTGAAGCAGGACCGCCAGAAATAAGGAGATCTGATTGGTATAAAACGCTGTCATTCATTGTATTCTCAGCCATTCAGAGCCCTAAGGGGGTGAGACTTCCTCTACAAGCCTCAGGCTGCATTCCGCATGTCTTCTAGCTATCAGTCATTGACTCAGAAGGGAATAATCAATCAGTTTCTTATCAGTGCTCCTTTTTTCACACCAGAAGGCAACTCTGAGGTTTTTTTCAATGTCTAACAGCAGAAAAAGACTCTCTAGCAGTGTCTAAAGGTTTTTATAGCAATTGCAATGGTTTTTATTGCCATTGCTTTCAATATTCTTTATGATTTATTTATTATATGCAAGAAATTTCATTCCAGATCCAGTCTTCATAAAACATTATGCCGATTATTTTTCAAATTGATCAATTTGTCCCAGATTTTTATCCAAGCTAGTAGACACCTATGACAAGGCCTAAAAAGCATTTCCAGCTACCAGAATTGAAAATTCTTACCTCTGAAGACCAAAACAAAATTTCTGCCTGCTGTTATTTGGGTTTTTTTCATATGTTTGTCTGCTGAGTGGACACATTAAGAAATAAAATAAATTTGACTGTTCACACTCAACAGCCAGCTTCAATTTAAGACCTGAACCATGCTCCTGCTATGTTCTGCTGCAGAGATATAACAAAATGTTTAAGGGGAGAAAATTCCAGCCGGACATTGGCTAAAAGGGTCTTCGACAGTAATAGTTAAAGAAGAGGATGTTTGTTCGTTCAATTCATGCATGTAGAGATGGATTTTAAAAATACTGTTCCTACAAATATTCATAATGTCATTTTTTTTTACTGTAGTTATTCTCTTACCCAGCAGTTGGTGCGCCTCGCCTTTCATTCAAGTTAAGATGCTGTTCTTGTCTGTAGAAAATGCAATTCATCTGGATTAAGACTGGCTCCAGCCTGGCGCAACCAATAAAGTTTTCAGTCAGAGCACCGGCTGAAATGTATGATACCTGCGTTATGAGTTCGAGGCTTGGTCATGAGACCAGCCAATTAAGACTATGGTTCCCCAAGCAGTGGCGCTCTAGATTAGTCAGGCAGAGCTTTCCCAGCTTTCCGGCAAACATAGATTCCTGTGAATTGCCATTTGGCTGTGGTTCACCTGTAATGCCATTTGGCACTACATCTTGCCAGCAGCCGTATCACCCTGCAACTCACAACTGGCAGCCCACTGAAGCTCAGCAGGTGTGAGCCTGGTCACTAATGCCCCAGTATAGTGATGGGGAAAGTATACTGTAAAAAGGTGCCGTCCTTCTGATGAGGCATAAAACCGAGGTCCTGACTCTCTGTGGTCATTAAAAATCCTAAGGCATTTCTCGAAAAAAGAAGGGGTGTTACCCTGGAGTCCTGGCCAGTTTTCCCATTGGCCAATTTTCATCATGGCCAGATCCCCATGGGGAAATAATCCCCATCTATGAATTGGCTTCATTACTCTGTTCTCCTCCCCACTAATAGCTGGTGTGTGGTGAGTGTACTGGTGCACTATGGCTGCCATCTCATCATCCAGGTGGAGGCTGTACATTGGTGGTGGTGGAGGGGAGTCCCCATTACCTGTAAAGCGCTTTGAATGGAGTGCCCAGAAAAGCGCTTTATAAGTGCAAGCAATTATTATTAATTATTAATCTTCTGTCACCCATGTCAAATGAAAAATGGTCCAACAGGTTCCAGGGTCGAATCCCGGCAGGGCTGGGAAATCCGCACTTGTGCTGTAACTCGTGTTTCGCAGGCTGAAGTCTGTCAGTGGCGGAGGTTGCTGCTGAGGAGAGAAGGAGGAAAAAATGTAACAGGACTCATGCATGAGCCAGTTACAGAAGGAAAACCCCTCTGAAAGCTAAAAAGCTCTGTTGGGTCAGAGGACCGGGCTTCGGCTTAGCTGAGATATCCGCTGTCAGGAAGTGGCGCTGTGTGTGTTCGGCGCCCACGCTCAGCCGGGATCAAATTCCTGAAGGGGCAGTGCAAGCCCACAGATCGCTGCATCTTTCCCAAATGGAGAGTCAAGCATTGAAACAGCTGGTGATCTGCAATAAGTCTGGCGTACCTTAGTCAGTCTGACTGGCATCCCGTCCAGGTCGTTCCTGTCCTGCTCCCCTTGTTTGCTGGGTTAGTCCCCCAGGACCCTGTATCGGGGTTAGAAAAAAGATGGATGATTCTTCCCTGTCAGAAATCGTGTTGGTATATGTCACGCTGGGGCTGACTGTGGAGGATTGGGATCCAATGCAGTGCTCTAGGAAGGGTAGGCGCAAGACGTAGGCATAGTAAGAGTAAACAGGCAGGGGTTCGAGTCCGGGAAGGCGTAGAAGAGGCGTTGACGTAGAATCAGAAGGCATGGCGTAATCAAGTAAACAGGCTGGGGTTGAAGTCCGGGAAGGCGTTGAAGAGGTGTCGGAATGGATTCAGAAGGTGGAGTCGTAATCGAGGAGACTGGCAGGGGTCGGATTCCGGGAAGGCATTGAAGAGGCGTTGGCGTGAAATCAGAAGGCGAAGACGGAATCGAGGAAACAGGCTGTGGTCAGGATCCAAGAGAACGTTGTAGAGGCATAGGTACAAAATTGAGTGGCTAAAGCGTAGTTGAAAAAAGCAGG